GTGCGTCGTTCGGTTGTGTGCGTCGTTCGCTTGGAGATCACGTTACGCCCAGAAGTGCAACATGATTGTCTTGGCCATGTCCTCCATGCCGACATCTACGTCTCTCAACATCTGCTCCATAGCCTTCGGGAAGAAAGCGCTGTCGCTACGTTTTACGTGTGGAAGCTCCAGGTACTTTATGAAGGTATTGACAATAGCGTTCTTAGCCCGCAGCATGTCCCCACTGATGACATCTGGCATTGAGAAAGTCCACTTCCAGTTTGTCACCTCCCAAGCCATAAAGTCATGGAGAAGGTCGGGATTGACCTCCCAAATTGCTGCGCCAAAGAAGGCGCTTGTAATGCCGCCGTCAAATAGATCGACCATCAACGCCATTAGCGATACCGGTGTGCCGTCTGTCAGATCTATGCGCCGTGGATTTTCAATTGCCACTGGTTTGCGATTGAGAGTATTCCATATGTAAGGTAAAATTCTTTTATCAAGAAGATCGTCGAGATGGGGCCCGGGATACAGCTGTTGGCGGTGGTATTCGTTGGTCATAAGCGCAGGCACCATGGGATTGCCCATATTCGCATTGTGTTTGGCACTCGGATCCAGAGTGAAGAGCTTTTTCACACCATCATCCGAGACGGCCATCATGTAATGCATTTGCTTGATCATGCTGTGATATGAGATTGTCGTAGTGTTTTTGTACATGTACGCAACATCTTCAGGATTGGTGAGGACATAGATGCGCGCACCGGCGAGCCAAACACTATATGGTTCCTTATCGTCGTTGAAGTAGTTCCTTGCGGGTATATTAGTGGAATCTTTCAGCAGCAGACGTTGCAGAAGCATGCCTTGCGCCTTCAAGAGCACTATTGTAATCCTTGAAGAATGGGTAAAGGTGTCCTAGTGATGTCAATCAATCTGAATAGCTGTGAACGGGTAGCTAGGCTACCTATATCTGATAGCAATTAGACCTTTGCCCTCCATACAATTGTTGGTTTTGTGCTTACATGGGATCCAGTATGGCAACTCCTTTGGCCTAGAAGGGTGAAGGTAGGGCAGTAGGGTAAATCTCCACAACCGCCAGCAAACGTACACCAAGACACATATGCCTACTCCTAAAATCATGAAGCCACTGCCCATATTCGAACCAGTGAGGACGGATTGGGCGACAGGACGCACCATCACTGTGTATACTGCTGGGTGAAAAGGTATGCTACATAGAAATGCCTCTACAATTTCCTGATTATGTGAAAGTGTGTGTAGGTTCGACCTTATTGATTAGATGACCAGGCTTACAATGAATCAAGTCAGCCTCCCCGCTCCGTCCTTTCCCGCTTCTTTGGAATCAGGCGACACTGCGCGGAAACACTTTCGGTTACATACACACCAATTGCATGGTCATGCAGTGGTGGAATCTCATTACGCCCTCCCTGTGGTACATGCTCTGATCCCCGTGTGCGCGCATAACAATATGTGTCTCCAGCATTGACATTTCTCAGTTTTCATTCTTCGCGAATTGGCCCACTGCCCTAGTTTGGGCCTTCGCTAAGTCATCTTTTTTCCTCATGTATCTCCATCTCTTCGAACCCCTGAGATGGCTGCGCCTTGGGGCTTACTTTGGCCTATTTCTCAACTGGGGTTTCTACACCGCCGTTATCATAGCAAGCATCTACTTCAACGCCCCAAGTCCCGGACAGACATGGCAAGAAGGAGCGCAGAACGAACGCTACAAAAGATCTTTCAACATGACACTGCCTATCGCTTCCGGAAGCCTCTTTCTGGATTGTTATATTCTCGTTCTGCCTATATGGGTTGTCTGGAACCTTCGCCTCAGCTTCCGACGGCGGTTGGGCGTTATGGCAATCTTTGCTACTGGCCTTGCGTATGCTTTCTAAGTTCCCACTTCAGCCTCTATGACATAATGCTGACTGGAATCAGTGCATGCATTGCGTCATCCCTCAGCATCGCGTACAAATATAAGCTAAACCACCATCTTAATGACTTCACTTACTGGACTTATCCCGTTCTGCTTCTCGCTTTGGTTGAGATGTGTGTCGGTATCTCGTGCAGCTGCATGCCGTCAGTCGCAGGGTTCTCGAGGTACCTTCACAAGGACGGTGGCGCTTGGGCTCCCTGGGGAACATCAATACTTGCACCCCTCCGGAGTCTTTTTACCAGCAGTAATCGCGATCATTCTCAAGATGGGGGCCGTAGCTGGAAGCAGGAGGGCAGTCGGATCCACAAGAGCAATTATATCAGTATTGAGTTAGAGAGTTTGAGCACTCATGCGCTCACCCAGAACCACGAAATGACAGATTTCGGTGGATACATGGCATCACGGGGTTGAAAGGTGCGGCCAATACTTGTATTGGAGACAAGGAACGGATCTTGAACCAGCTGTGGGTTCGCAATCGCAACACTTTTTCCTAGGCTGTAGTTGACGTGCAATGGCGAAAGCTTTCATTTGATGCACACTACCCTAGGGTATTGTGCCCTATGATCTCACTCAAGTTTGCAAAGTGATATCTCTGACTATTTCTGCTAAGAAAACCATTTTTCCGGGCCAATATATGAACTTTCACGAGCCTGGTAGGGTACATTACATGCTTAGGGTCAATTGAGGTCCTCATGGTCCATTGAAGGCTCTGCAGGATGCTGGTCTGCGGCGTACGGAACGGGGCGCAAATCAGCATTTGGCGGCAAAATGGGAAGGTCACACTGAATTTATGGGAAGGGCTGGCTAACAATTAAGAACTCGTCACTCATAGTGTGGGACACGGAGATATCCCACATATGCGTCGCAAATTTTGCTCGAGTAACACCTGTACAGAGTTAGTTCATGTAGCTGAAAGAGCTACTAGAAGGCTCACCGTAGACGCATATCGCATAATAGGAACATGTACCAATCTATATATTGATGCTAGTCAGCTGTTGCTGAAGGCATAAGATTGCGATTCACTACCAAGGCGACGAGGGTTGTCCCTTGGATCATTCTGTCAGCTTTCCTTGCGCAGATCGGACATTACGACAAACGCATGAATACCTACAGTCATCGGCGCTTACTTTGTGCTGTATCCTCAGCTTTACAAAAAATCTTATTCCGGCAAAGAGGAACATAACCGCCATCAAAGCGGCGCCCACCGCAATCAGTACATAGCCGTCCGATGGAGGGTCCACGAAGTTAGGCACTACACCCGGTGGGGGGACGGCCGCTGGTATCTGGGCCAATTGTTCACGGGTCATATTGGCAAATGCAGCTGACATAGCTTCTGATGAGTTTTCAAGGTTGGATGATGAATACGAAGATGAGAGAAGGTGAAAAGAACAAGAAGAACCTCAAACGAGAATGCTTCCCAGGGTTTTGACGGAACCGCATTTCCCTTAGCTTGACAAAGGCTGGCACTTCAATCGGTCATGAAGTCCGAAACAGCTTGATAGATGCTATCCAATCCGGCCATCATGCAAGTCCGTTGTCAGCGGTAAGCGCCAACTACGCCACAACCGTACCGTCCGCAAGTTGGCTTGTCGCTGATCACTAACGCTGATAGACGAGCTTGCGCATTGCTCCCGCAAGGGAATATCCGCTGACTGCAGATACCTCCCCTGGCAATCGGTTACAGCGATCAATGACCCTCTGGGAGGTATACCGGTAGATTGGTGAAATCCGACCGCGCCACATCCGTGCAGTTCCCGTCCGCTCTTGGGCCTGAAGGAAATTGTGAATTACAAGGTTTGGAAGTGAATGATACGAAGTTTCTGGTGACTGAATCAATTGGACAACTGTGCCGCATGCAAGGCAGTCACCCACATAGAACGCAGAATTAGCACTATTGATCCGGCAATTAACCGTCGCTGTTGGAAAAGCGGCTCGTGGAATGAGATACTCAGAATGATAATCTAGATCTGACTTTGGACTATAATTGAGCGGCACACAGCTCAGGACTTTTCACGCGAACTACCGTGATCTACCTCCAGACATCTAACTCTTCTCCTTTCCTGTGGCCACCATGAGTCCTCAAACCGTTCTGATTACTGGCTGTAGCGACAATGGAATTGGCAGTGCACTAGGTAAAGTATTGCAACAGCGGGGATACCACGTTTTCGCCGCCGCTCGAAATTTGACGAAGATGACCTGGCTAAAAGGCTTGCCAAATGTCACTCCAATTATTTTGGACATTACTAAGGCCGAACATATCCAATCAGCCGTGAAGACAGTGTCTGAAGCAACTGGCGGCAAGCTTGACCATCTCATCAACAACGCGGCAAGAAACCACTTCATGCCAATCCTGGACGAAGATCTCGACAATGTCCGCAGGCTCTTCGAATCTAATTTCTTCGGACCACTTGCCATCACTCAGGCTTTTGCTCCCTTACTCATCAAGGCTCAATGAATGGTGACGTTTATCACTTCCATCTCCGGGTACGCAAACACACCTTGGATGGGTACGCGTTCTTCCCGTTCTCCTTTCTGGTCAACACATAATCTAATGAATGGGAAGGATCGTACGCCGCCTCGAAGCGGTCGATTGAGATAGCGGCTGACACCCTCCGACTCGAGCTTGTTCCTCTTGGCGTAAATGTTCTTGCTGTGGTAACGGGCGGCGTGAAAACGGCTGGACAAACGTACTTTGACAACCTCAGACTGCCTGAAAACTCACTCTATAGGAGCGTGGAGAAGACAATCATAAGTAGGGCTCAAGGACACGATGGAATGGACAGAATGGACGCGCATGAATACGCCAACGCTGTCGCTGACGAGATTGAGAAGCGCACTGCAGGAAAGTTCTGGTATGGTGTAGGGCCAGAGATGGTGAAGAACGCTTTCACCAACGTTGCGCTGCCGCAGGATGCATTTGTAAGCTCCATTTTTATCCCATAGTTCCTATAGTTTGTGACACTGGGCCGTTAACAAGACTAGGACTCGCAGATCATTCTGGGCACTGGTCTTGCTGTCATGAAGAAAGGAGAGTCGGAAGTGCTTGGCTGATAAATTGGCAACTCACTCTTGTTTGCCCATACATGCGGAGAAAATGAACAACGTTCCTTTTTTGCGTTCGTAAATAAATTTCAACGATTTGCTAAGCCCGCTCAACTTAACTTCAAGTACCGCTCCGCATGATGATGTTACATGAAGCCAGGTATTGTGTGAACGTATGCCTTGCTTGCGGGGTCCTCACACACCAGCCAACGCCGTGCCATATGCGTCTCCACATTTGGCTTAACCCCCCATCGGATTTTACCTTTCAAATTGGAGTAGTTTTGCAAATCTAATTTACTTTGCCCCGCTGGATTTACGCGCTTGGGGAAGCTTGTGATACAGGGGCGTACGTAACTTTCCTGAAGACGCCTGCCATACCGGTAACCTGGGCCTCTTCCTATCTTTCCGGTCGGACATGCGTATCTGCAGATATTGAGCAATCCATTGATCTAGGTCCATTACCATCGGCAATCATGGCATGGCAAATGAACTTGATCTAGACGTCTCCCAAAAAGCTGCAGGAATTATCAGGGGTATATAAAAACTCAATCAGGTCAAGAACCGGGACCGAGACCGGTCAAGCCTTAAATCAGACAAAGCTGTGCGGCAAAGCTTGCATGGATATACGATGTCAAAGCTCTTCTAAGAGCACTCCAGCGGTTGGGTGTTGGTGTGTTAGGTCAGCCCTCAGGAGCATCATCTCCAGTTTCGCTTCAATCATCGGTCAAGGCTTTATGATGTATTCCACTGCCTTCCTCGCCGTTTCTGTAGCTATTTGTGCCGCATATATCTTCCAGAATCCAGCAATCAAATTTGCCCAAATTATCGCAGACTTCGTGTGTCTCTTCGCGAACTCCCATCTTTAATGACATGCAACTGAGACTCTCAGCGTTCAGGACGATACTATAAGCCATGGAATTCAAACGGGAGAATGATCATCGTCTCCACGAAGAAACAAATAGCTGAACTGAGCGAGGCAAATTGTCTCTCAACGCGCAGTCTATGCCGATGTGAGCCGGTTATAGCTCTCATGTTCTTTCGTCGCTGACCTGAGGCAGATGCTCGGGTTCAAATACACTCTGAACGGAATTGAGCATAATACTGTGGATCATAAACTCATTCGAACCAGGCTCTATGCAAGAGTTCTGCAGGTGAACGGACCCTCTAACCTCGCGGCCCTATTTCCGTTTTTAAAAGAAAAGCTGGACATTGCCCTTCGCTCTGAACTTCTCAACGGACAAGCCAGCAGTAGTAAGCTCATTTGACGGGTTGACGATGTGTGACTTTGGATGTGTTTCTGATGTTGCTCAGACGGCTTCACGCTACCTGTTGCTCAAACAGCACGCCGGTTAGCCTCAAAGCTGATGGCTCTTGTTTTCTACGGTGAACTGCTTGGTAAGTATACCTTCGCAACAACGCGTACACAGCTCACTTCCGCAGCTACAGATGAGACATTTTCCAACGCTCTTTTACGATATCCAAGGGACATGATCAAGTGCATGGCGGCATTCCAGTTGACTCCCAGTTTTCTGTCTCCGTGAGTTCCCAGATAACCGAGGGTTGAGCGAAACTCATGATACTAGGACTGTGCATTCGGTTCTGACGAAGCGGGGAGAAGCAATGCGTACAATACTAGGGCGTCTACGTACTATTATGAAGGCTGGAAGAGAAGAGTGGGATGAGCCCGAGTCCACCAAAGAGGTAGCTTTTCCTACCCAAGCGGAGACCTTAGCAGTGGCACTGATATAGAGCAGCACACGATTCTTTATCATATGATAGAGATGACAGATGACAGTGACTACTGGAATCCTGATCTACTATCCCAGTCGCTCCTCGGAATTTGGTTTGCCGCTTCGCACCAGCCGTGGATGTTTTTAGATTTCGTGCTCCTTGAGCTGTGCGCTCGTAAAAATTACCAACGAGCACTGCAACAGGAATTGGGACCTGAATCGTCCGCGAACTTACCAAGCTTTGGAGAAACTACCACTCCTCGACAGCTTTATTAAGGAAACCATACGTCTGAATCCGTTAGACAAATGTAAGCGTCCATGTTTGAGTACTGTTCTCCCAATTGAGCTTACGTTTATAACAGTTGCAATCCGGCGCAAGGCATTGGAGTCTTACACCTTTTCCGATGGATTCCCATCGGTATCCAAAGGCGGGATAGTGTGCGTGTCGGCATACGACTTAATGCACAACCTCAACTATTATCCTCGGCCAGATGATTTTGACGGATCACGGTTCGTGCCAAAGGCGACAGAGCAACAAAGCAAGTTCACAGAGGTGTCTGACAAGTTTCCGGTGTGGGGTTATGGATCTCTTGCTTGGTATGAACACCTACAGTAACTGGAGGTTTTGGATGCTGACATTACTCTACAGTCCGGGTCGATTTTATGCCTCGCTGATTATGAAGTTGATTATTTCCCAAATTCTCCTCACGTACAACGTGAGCCTTGAAAATGAGAAGGCGCGGACGAAGTGGTATTGGGAGAGTTTTACTATGCCATACGAGTCGACACGGATTGTGTTGAGAGAACGTTGTCGTTCGTGAACTAATTCCGGTTTATGGTTTATTGAGTGTATCCGGGTTCTGTAGACACAGTTCTTGCGTACTGCTTGTGGGGATATGGCTGTCTCCTCATCGCACTTTGCTGCTACCAGGATATGCTGTTGATGGCTTCTCGCATGTGGTATGCTCATTCCCAGGTAACGGAGGCACTCATAATAATCCCAGTCAAACTAATCGATCCGGAACTTGAGACCCTGCATACAGGCAACCTCCATTATGCAATAGCAATTTAAGTGCAGAGTGACTCCGGTGGTACCAGTTTCGTGGATCCATTGGTACCTCGCCGTCTCGACTGCCTACGCGCAGAAGCATCGAAGTCCGTAAGTGGCACAGAGACAACGCTCAGAGAGACAGTCCTCCACGACAGGGTCTCCGGGATGCCCGTCTCAAACTCGCAGTCAGGTTTTCCCTAGCCCCACCTGGACAAGTGTGCGAGTAAGCAGTTCTACTTGTCAGTTTCCATACCTTCACGTTGAAGATGCCGTCAATTTCTGGTCTACACCTCTCTATCGTGCTTCTCGCCTACAGCGCGTCCTCATTGCCTGCAGATTCTTGTTGCAATCGCTTGAAGTCGGTCTCTGGCGACAATGTCTTCTTCCCGGGATCCTCTCTCTACCTCGAATCCGTGTCATCGTACTTCTTCCTCGAGCAACGAAGCAGCCCTGCCTGCATTGTCGCTCCGTCAACCTCAGAGGAAGTTGCAAAAACTGTCATAACGTTGACTCATTGCGGAGAGATCGAAGTTGCAATCCGATCTGGCGGGCACTCGCCGAATCAATACTTCTCCAATACCAAAGGGGGTATCACTCTAGACCTACGGCGGCTCAACTCGATAAATGTATCCGAGACTGGAAGTACTGTATCCGTAGGAACTGGTGCGCTTTGGGGCCACGTTTACGATGTGCTAGACCCTTTGAATAAGACTGTTGTTGGTGCACGAGTCTACGATGTAAGAATAGGTGGCTTTTTAAGTGGCGGTGAGATCACCCTGTGAAGTTATGCATCATATATACTGAATCGTTTCGCTAGGTGGGATTTCGTTCTTCTCACCGCAGGATGGCTTTGGCTGCGACAACGTTCTGAACATGCAAGTCGTTCTTGCGAACGGCACCATCGTCGACGCGAACACGACATCGCACCCACAGCTTTTCCGCGCTCTCAAAGGCGGACAAAACAATTTCGGCGTCGTCACTCGATTTGACCTCGAGATAAAGAGCAGATCACGGTTCTGGGGAGGTGCGATTGTCTCCCCGGGGGCGGCCGATGCGGCACAGCTGGATGCGTTACTGAGTTCAAGACGGAGGCCTACGATTCCCTCTTAGAAATCGAGCAGACATTCGTGTATTACGGATCCCAACAGTCGTTTCTCAGCTCGAACAACTTGTTTTATTTGACAGATCCTCCTGATCCTAATGATATACGCGCATTGAACCGATTCACGGGTATTCGGCCACAACTCAGCAGTACCTTGAGGTTGTCCAATGCCTCTGACTTTGCAAAAGAGATCCAGGCGGGGCAGCCGCTCAATCAATAGTACGCAAGACTATCATCTGAAAGAAACATTCGAATTCACCTTGTTTAGTTCCGTGTACGCTACCGTCGCATTTCCCATTAACCCTACCATCCTCAAAGAAGTCTACGGCCTCTGGAAAAAAACAACCAATAAGTTGGCAGCCAGAGCGCCAAACTGCACTTCTGCTCTGACATACCAATCCGTTCCTCCTCCACCCGGCGCGACAAAGTCGAAGAATTCTTTTCCGTTCACGGAGGCTTCCGAAACACATAACCTTGTTTTGATGTTAACATCCCTCTACTCGCCAGAGGAGAGCGACTATGCCACCATCCATGAGGAAGCGCAGGTCTTCATCAATCTGGTAGAGAATATAGTGGAAAAATCTGAAGGGGGTACGAGTTGGAAATATTTGTATTATGCTGCGAGCTGGCAAGACCCTTTGTCTGGATACGGGCAAGAAATGATCACTCAATTGAAGGCAGTGGCATCTCTTTACGATCCCGAAAGTTTCTTCCAAAACGTGGTAAAGGGAGGATTCAAAGTGCAGAAATGAATACTTTCCTAGACCAACTCGTTCTAGGTAGCAATCCTTACAACAGAGCAGTTGTACAGGTGTGCTAGGAATGGGCAGTGTGTAGTTAGTTTATTTAGGGTCACAGCATCAGCGTTAAATGCATGATCCTTCACAGTCGCTCAACTACATCACACCTTCCTCACTTATCTACCCCACAACAGTGAACATTTGAACCACCTTTTCTGAATCCTGACCTCGACCCAAACGCATCCTCCCCTCCGTTTCCTGGCCCCACTTCCCCTCCAAACACTAAATCTCCCCCAGACGGCCCACACAAACCTCGCCGTCATCTGTACGGGCATTCCCCTGCAACCGCACTGTGGCCATTATCGATCATTGCTCGAGAGGCTTGGAGATTCGGTCTTCACCAGCGGAAGGACCCTCCCGAATTAGCACGTCGCTGCAGCGCCCTCTGAGAGCGAAACGTGGGAAAATAAAGAATAAGAGGATATACATCTAGTAAAATGCGCGATTATATGTATACGCACAGCCAGTCATAGACCTCCCATACAGCGTATTCATATATTCACATATTCATGCTCTCCTGAATATGAAAGTTGATTCGGCACACCAAGCTCCCATCATCACACACGTCCATCCATATACTGTTATCGCAAGGCAAATCTCTCAAATTCCACTCCAGATCTAGATTCCACGTATTTCCTTCTGTCTCGCTCTATCGCCAGATGGTAAATGCGGAAATATATGCAAAAATATCAGAAACATCATCACGGTCATGACTCATAATTCATGACAGAAGGCGAACTCCCAATTCCCATAGGACGCGTTGGGAACGACAACCATGCGACGCCCCTCCTTAGAACTTCTCCATCAAGTTCTTCCTCACCGTCCACATGCGCGCCCTCTTGCCATAAATGTACATGGGTATCGAGAAGAGCATGCAACCCATCTGTATGCCACCGATCGCCAGGAACGTGGACTTGGAGCCACTAGACTCGAGCCAATGGGGAAAGAACAAGGAGAAGATGAAACCATGCAGAACATCTGTTCGTTATCAGCACATGTTGGTTGACGAGAGCGGAGCTCACCTACTCTTGCAAAAGTTGAGCGTCACAAGCGCTTCTCCGGCATAGACACGATACGAGTCGACCACAAATGTGACTGCAGTCGTTGACGCGAGCGAACAACCGAAGCTGATGACACCAAAGAACACCGTCGGTACTATCCAGTTGTTCTTCTCTTCCGCGCTCCAGCCGAACCCCATAAGGCCGATGGTCGTGCTGAGAGCTATCGGGATCGCCATGACAAGCCTAAACTCGGGTTCGTACACCCCGTCATTCCTTCTCGCCATGAAGCGCACAACAAGGTCAGAAATTTTCCCTGCGACGGCTGTGCCCAGGATGCCTCCGACAAAAGGCGAGATGTAGACAAGCCCGACCTGAAGCGAGGTGAAATTGTAAGAATCCGAAGTCTGGTAGATATGTGCCAACGACTCCGAGAGGACAATAAGCCAGCCGACGGCAAGCGCGTAGACCATGCTTGACCAAAGGACAGCCGGATAAGCAAATAGAATAAAGGGTCTGATTGCAACGTGCAGCCATTTGTCCTTAGCCAGCCGCCCGTTCCAAAGTTTCAATGACTGGATATAAGATTTCGGGGGCGCGGCGCGGTAGTAATCTGTATACTGTATTGAAAGCTGATCGATCGACGCCTTTTCGGCATCAGATTCCTGCGTCGAGCGGAATTCCGGATTAGGACCATTCGAAGGAGATGGCAGCTGTTTCTCGACATCTGTTTGCCCGCTTTCGGCTCCTGGTGTAGGAGAGGTGGAAGGGTTGGTCATTGGGTCAAAATAATCGCGAACAGACGACGTCGACAAAGGGGTTGCGATTCCAGCGGGGGAAGCGGCGGGTCGCACAGGCGGGGAGTCTAGCGACTGCGGTTCTACAAAGCCTACCCTATGCATTCGTGGAGCACGGGGGGTCGCATCCGTGTCAGTGTTAGGGGATAGAGGTGCGGATGTGTCGCCTAGGATTTCACCAGCTGGGCTTGGCGATGCGTTCTCCGGCCTCCTGAACGATGGCAAATGGTAGCGGTGATGATGGCTTTTCGGGCTCTTACTGCGTGTCCTCGCTCTACTTCTATCTCTTGGTCTAGGTGTGCGATCCCAGAATGTTTCCGGAACACAGAAGAAGATGAGGAAGAAGCAGAACCCGACGACGATTGCCACAACCCTATAGATGGTCAATGGGGGACTGTTTAGGCAGAGCGATGGACTTACCAAAAGACCCATCGCCAGCCTAAGCTATTGATGATGGCAGCACTGACGAGGGGAATAAGGTTCTTGCCTCCTAACAGAAGCAGGGTATATATGCCAAGTCTATAAGCTCTTTCGTGAAGGAAAAAGATTTCGGCAATGGAAGCGGACGGAAGGCACTCGACGGGCGAAACAGCTAAGCCCTGGACGATGCGGGCCACGACAAGAGATGGGTCTGTTCAGATGTTAGACAGATTGCAAAGGTCTTGGACAGTTCGCTCCTGAAACTTACAATTGGGGGAAAGAGCGCACCAGACTGCAGACAGAGAGAAGAGTATGATAGCAGCCAAATATACAGGCCGCTTCCCCCACAAGATAGCAGTGGGAGACGCGAGCACAGAGCCCAAGCCGAGTCCGAGCATGTACAAGCCGGTGGTGAGCGCGACTTGTGGCACAGAAACGCCATATGTCTTCGCGACATCCTTGAAGCCAGCAGCAAGAACAGGGGTCATGCCGCCTCCGACCATGCAGTAGAATCCCAGCGAGACCAAAGCAAAATCTCTCCGCATTCTAGGCCAGTTCAAGGGGTCGTTGGCCGAGTCGTCAGGCTGCGGCTCCAATATGAACCTGCCATCCTTTGTCTTCTTCTTCTCTGGTACACGGGAGCGGGAAGAGGCGTGCGACCCTCGGGAAGCACTTCGTGGCCGGGGGTAAGGGGAGGGCAAGGAGGAGGCAGAGTGACGCGCATGCGCATGCTGGAGTCCGAGGGGCTCGTTCCGCTTCGTCGCTTTGGAAAGCAAGATGACTGAGCCTTGCATGGGAGATCAGCGCCACGTCCATAAGGAAACAGGTTCGTACATACCAGGTACTTCATCTGTATAGGGGTCACTCAAGATGCCTAGGTGCCATTTTCTCAGTGTTCCCGCGTTTCCCTTGTCAACTGAGGCTGTTCCAGATTGGCTGCGGGGTCCCTCCGGCTTTCGAGAATTCAGCCCAGGGAGGAACGGCATGCTGGGCCTCTCGAAGGGCTGGAGAACAGAGAACGAATGAGTAACTGCTAAGTTGGGTGAGGTGGTGGGAGGAAGATTATCGCACTTGGAGGGACATGAACCATATAACGGGCGGTGAACATGTGCCTTAACCTAGCGCCACACCGAGTGAAGCCAAGCAACTAGCAGAGGAACCCAAGCAGGAGACAGTACCAATCCAAGGCATGGTTGACGGTGAGGACGACGGTGTACCAGCTTTCAAAGGCTTTGAAAGGATCTTGCTGGCCGAGAGGATGGTCATGCGACGGGCGCTGCCGCGTTGTCGTCCAGGTTAAGTAGGTTCTGTGTGGGGTAGTCCACCCCCACCCTGGGCAGAGGATGCCTGAGCAGATATCTGGTCGACGGTTCGTGACATCACCCCGCATCTTGGCGGGAGCGGCGTCTCATTCGCGCGGATACGGCGTGAGGGGTGCAAACATGGCGATGCTATGGGTTTCGCAGTTTGGACGTTTTCGATGATGGGGTCAACAATGGGTTGCCGACAGACATTTGTTTTGATGAATGCAGTTCCTTCTTCAACGGAGGGGTGGGGCGGATGGACGATGTCAAGGTAGTCAGGTACTGGTAGGCATTAGAACGGCAAGGCGGGAGGCGGAAAGCTATTGGTAAGCTGCCGTGGAACGGAGTAAGAGACGGGCCGACGTGCACGTGCTGCGTGCACGGGACGGTGATTCGCATCCATGGATCTCAAGAAGAACCAGACATAATTGAAGATCCTTTCCTACACGGTTGGCGCGGCAAGCATTTGCCAAAGGCTTGTCTGCACGTCACTCACCGACTACCGCGCGGGGTTGCGAGGCACATGCTATTACCAGTATGTAGCTTATCATCATCCAGCGGTCAGGATGGAGTACGCAGTAACATTTCGGGGGATGCAAATAATGAAAAGAGTTGATTCCCTCCCGCAACTTTGCTGCTGCGCCGCCTCCCTTTCAAACATCAGTGCCAGTCTCCGCTGCTTGCTACCCTAGGGTACTCTGGTAACACTACACGGGACTCAGAGCCGGTCTCCATATCATACCAACTTGGGGGACTGGGTGAGCAATCTCAACATCGACTGTGCCGCATGGCCGCAGCCGCGCTTTTATACAAACAGACGGAGGCTGAAGCTCCGGGACGGGGGAAATTGCAAAGTGTTGTTGAACAAGACCAACAAACGAGGCCAGATTGCGCTTGTGTGTTACCATGCGCTTTTTCATGCAACCAGCACGTCTCGACAGTTAGCCGTGCTCAAGTCTCCATCATGGTGGATTAATTATTATTGTTGCTGCGTCCTATGCTTCCAAGGTTACATAGAATTCCACCTGGGCAAGCCCCCGCTCCAGGGCTGTTAACCGTGGTGCGCACGTGTCAGGCTTGGCCGAATTAGGCAGCCCGAATGTGCAAGTGCGTCCGGGACCCCCTGCCAAGGCAATAGCGCTTACAGTTGCTCACCAGAGAAAACCCGCCGGCCTTCTTCAACACCATGGCCAAAATCTCACGATACGGGCAGGTCAGCCTTGCCGCGCCCGACGACCCATCATAAGAGGCCTCTTCTTGCCATCGCTGTCGCCCTCAGGAGCGATGTGCCCACCGCAGTTATCTTGACAGTCGGCACAGGAGGAACAACCCAATATCTCGACTCCAACATCAACCCTGTCGTTAACTCATTACCGCACCGAGACTGTGCCCCGCGAGTTCTGCGACGTTCGAAAAAGCTGCGCACCGCCGAGAGATTGCCCCGCTTGACCGGTCAAGTCGCTCAGCCCTAGGTATTAATCTGGTCTAGAAAGGGCCGCTTGATTTTCCATATCGTCCCAAATCCTTGGTGATGCAAGCGAGATTGACTTTATCCTTGCCAACCTGCCCTGTACCGACCAGTAAAAGGACTATCTTCGTAAAGATGCTTGTAATTTCCTACCAGGCAGCCACGGGCCCTTACTCGATGTGACATTCTCCGCTCCAGAGAACCAACCCACTTGACGCCCCAGAATCCTTCAGCGAAACGGCTTATTTCTCAGTACGTCCTTAGGCGCTGCTGCTCTGCCACCCACTCGCATGCACTGCCGGCCCGGCCTTCCTATTCCTGTCTCTTCTGTGGTCTATTACGGCGTCTCCGCGGCAATGGATGCCATTTCTGCTCCCCTGTAGCAGCGTGATGGCCTCATGCTAAGAACAACGTGCATGGTCGAAATAGTCTTCCCATGCAGGTACGCGAGATGGCAGCCTGCAAGATGCTGGTAGAAAAACTTGGGGGCTCCTCCATCGGTTGCCTCTGGCTTTTGGCACTCTCAGTCCTTCCACCGTCGCTCTCTTGGGTTATCACCCTTTTGCAAGTCTTTGCTTGCGTTCCCTCTTTCACAGGCCCACAGGCTGTCCAATCTTTATAACTAGTAATATCTTCAATCACTAATCATGCCCTCCCTCTCTCGCGCTGCCACTCTGGCGGCTGGCCTCTTGGCCACAGCCGTTTCAGCAACATTCAATCCCGCTTCCTCCAGAAACGTTGCCGTATATTGGGGTCAAGGCTATGATCAGATCCCTCTATCCGATGTGTGCAACGACGAGAACGTCGACATCGTCAATCTCGCCTTTGTCAATCAGTTTCCCAAGAAGAGGGGAGACTATCCTGCCACCAACTTCGGTACGTCCTCCGCCACCCGCCGGAAAGAGTCATCACTGATCACTTGACAGCCAACGCCTGTGGAGAGCAGTTTTTCGAGTATCCTGACGGAACATTGAGCGGACTCCGATCCTACTGTCCCAGTATCGGCCCCGGCATCAAGGATTGTCAGGCTAAAGGAAAGAAAGTTCTCCTGAGTATTGGTGGCGGTTGGCCCACCGACTACTACCTCCAGTCCAAGGACATTGCCGAGTACTTCGCAGAATTCCTTTGGGGTGCCTTCGGTCCTCAGACTGCTAAATGGGTTGCCGACGGAAAGCCTAGGCCTTTTGGTGACGCTTCGGTCGACGGTTTCGATCTTGATCTTGAAGCCTTCATGGAACCTGCCCCGTTCAGCGGCTACTTGGACGCCAACTACGACTACTTCGTCAAGCATCTGAAGAACAAGCTGTTCCCCACTGGTCCGTCGACGTACTACATCTCAGGTGCACCTCAGTGCGTCTTGCCGGACGCTCGCTTGGCCGCTGCCATCTCCAAGTCCAGCTTTGACTTTGTCTTCATTCAGTTCTACAACACTCCCCAATGCTCCAGCCGAGCGGGTTACAACGGCATCGTGGGCACCGCCACCTCCTTCACCTTCGACCAGTGGGTTGCATGGCTGAAGAAGAACTCTGTGAACAAGCAAGTCCGGCTCTATCTTGGCCTCGTAAGTGTTTAGTTAAGAATAAGAAAGCAAACATCGCTAACACAGCCCTAGCCCGCCAACGAAGCAGGCGCGCCAAACGACGTGACATCCTATCTGACGCCTGCCGAAGCCAACAAGCTCGTCACCTTCTACGCGAAGAAGTACCCCGAGATCTTCGGTGGTGTCATGCTTTGGGAAGCCTCCCTGGCTGCCCGGAACAAGATTTGCGAGAAGAACTATAACTCGTGGATCAAGGACATACTGGTCGGCAAGTACTCGACATCGCCCTGCGCTCCCAAGCCGTCGTCGTCTTCGACCCGTGCTTCCTCCACCATCTCCTCTAACCGTAGCTCGACCATTTCGTCTACCCCCACCCCTGTTGTATCCTCTAGCAAAACTTCGGCTTCCCCTACCAGCTCTGCGGTGACCTCCTCCGCTCAATCCAGCGCATATCCCACAAGCTCGGCCGCCCCCAGCTCTGCGGTGACGTCTTCCGCTCAGTCCAGCGTGTATGGCACGAGCTCGGCCGCCCCCAGCTCTGCAGCACCGTCTTCTGTCCAGTCCAGCGTGTATGGCACGAGC